GGGGCGGTGGAGGAGCGCCCCCCCCAGCGCGGGGACCCCCCTTGCCGCCCCGGCCCGCCGCTGCGCTCGAGGCCGCGGGGTTGAAACTTGGGCGGATCTGAGCCGGGTCTGAGCGCTCGCAAAGCTGAGGATGAGGAGTGGTTCCGAGGGAGAGCGAGCCCGCCGCTTCCCTGCCCCAACTTTTAGGCGCAGAGTATTTGCATTTGTGGCAAGTATGCATTGCGGCCGTACGGCCCCTTTGGTGCCTGTGCTGTCGCTCTTGCGCCCCCGAACTAAATTTTCTGGCGCAGCTGCTCCTGCCCATTACCGTGGAAATGAAATGGCTGCAATCAGAGGAGGAGGTCGCGGCCACTGGTGTTACTTGAGCTGGGAAGGATCAGGGCTTCCCTTCGAGTCTTTCACTCGTGGCCTCGAAGGCTACTTTCAGCTCTGGGTTCTGCTTTGGGATGTATGTGAAAGATGAGGGGCGAGAATAACTTTGGGCATGTGCAGAATGCTGTGGTAATTTATTGCTATGTTTTAGTTCCTAACCTTTTTACTGCTCAGAGTCAGGCATGCTTGGAGAAGCATATGAACCTAGTTGAATTAAATAAATAAATATGCTTATTTGAGTAGGCATAATCTTGACAAACGTTTGGAATCAACACTCCTTTTTCCCAACTTAAAGAAACGGTTAGTAATTTGGATTTCCTATCATTATTGTTCCGTTGGACTTGAATTCTTGTCTTTTCCTTCCTTTTCTTCTCAAGTTCCCACTCATTTTGGATATTGTACATCATTCAAGTAGACATTTTTGTATTTTACTTTTGAAAAGCATTTATAAACAAACAAAAGCCCTTTGCTGATTGAACCCCCTAATGCTTTACTTTCTTTGGAAATTCAATTTTGGAGACAGACAGCTGAATGATTGTCAGTTTTCATTTAGAATTGAAATATTTCTGAAGACAACTATGTGGAGGGCAGGCAGTTGCTTATCGGCGTCCACATCATCCTTTGTGGTGATACTTTTAATCCTTAAAAAATAGACAGAACAGGCACCAGTGCTTGGTCTCTTCAGATCTTTAACAAAGACATTTTGAAAAAGCTTTCAGTTTGTACTATCAGCACTAAGAAAAGAATTCATTTTTAAACCATTTTGAAGTGGCCACAGAAGAGGACTTCAGAGATTGTAGCATATGAGCATGTTTTAAACAGAAGAAAAGGCTCTGCTGGATAAGATCAAAAAGAATATCTAGCCCAGCATCTTGTTTCCCGTAAGCTGGGTTTTGTCGATCCAAAGCTGGGCAACCACACTTTAGCTTATTGTGTTGTAAGAGCCCAACCTGTATGTTAATTCACTCTAGCATGCAAACCCAGACAACTGAACTGAATAAAGCATTGTTAACTGTGGGTAAGCCTGTTGTGTGAATGAAGCACACTGGCCAACCAGAAGCCTTTGGAAAACCTGCAGGCAGCACATGAAGGCAATAGCCCTTTCTTTCTGTTATTCTGAAGCATCTGGCACTCAGAGGGAAACTCATGTTGTAGTAAAAAGAACTTTCTTTGTCTACCTGGATTTCCTTCAATTAGTTTCACTGTACAATACAGAGTTCTAGAATTATTAGGGAGAAAGAGAAAAGATTCTCCCTATCCATTGTTCCCAAAGTTAGTACAGTTTTCTAAACTTCTTCCATGGATCATTTAAAAATGTTCCATAAACTAGAAACCTCCAAATATTTTAGCCTGTCTTCTTAAAGGGAGATTCCAGTCCTTGATTACCCTGGTTTTTGTTTGTTTTCTATCCATTTGAGATGTAGTGGCCAGACAGTACTGCAAGTATGGTTGGACTCTAGTTTTGCAACCCCCTCAAGCTATCAATAATCATAGAAATGAAACAGAATCAGTAGCATCTTTTTCACTGAAATAATACATTTAATTTTTTAAAAAGGTTTCAACTCTAGTCTACTTGATACAGTACTTCAGAAGTTGTCTTTCACTATGAATGTAAAATGCAGTTAATACGCAGGTTCCCCCCTTGGTTCCTTCTAGATGCCTTAGAGAGGCTGTGCTAACTAATGATGCTGCAAAGCTGCTGTATTCTGTGTTTCTTTATTCATGTGGAAGTTTTCTTTTGCATATCCTCAACTTCATGCCATGGAATTATTAAAAGCCTTTCATCTGCATCCAGATGCACAAAAAGCGGTAAGCAGGTAAGTCAGAGATTCATTGTTGAGAACTGGAACTGTAGCATCTATTTATGTGCTTTCTTTTCAGTTGTCTACAATTGGTTGGAGTGTATGAATATGGAACTATTGCTACAAATGTTGATTACATCTACCATTGTTCCAGCACATACCCATTTCAACTGATGCCCCAAATTTGCTTGGAAACAAAACCATAGGTGGTAGTGGCATTGTTACATTTAATTTAATGATGTGAAAATAGGAACACAACCCATTTATGAGCCAACTAGGTTTGTTATATTGCTAATGAAAGATACAATTGATTAACATCAAACAATGAATGGCTTTGAAGTCGCTTTCTAATGAATTGCTTTTAGACAATGAGTCATTATGTTTCTAATTAATTTTGCTTTGCTTTCTTTTCTGAGAGACAGGATAAAAATGTTTTTGTTGGAAGAACCCAACATTCTTATCAAGTTGTGTTATAATGAAATAGCCCATGCTGTAGTGTTGGAAAATGTTGACAAATAGCTATGATTCAAACCTTCTGACCCTCTGAGACAAATACAAAGGTTGGGATGATATAAAGCTGCCTTATAATACAGTGGCCTAATAACATTTGACATAACATAATAATAATTTGGTGCTTAGCTCAAAAGTGGGCAGAGAGGTGTATTCCAAGAGCTGGGCTATGTACAAATTGCTTTTGTTGGTAACTTATATGCAACACACTCCATGGTGCTAATCCAAGGGTTAATGTGCCAGAGACCAGCCCTATTGTCCAATTTCATGATGGCTAGAAGATATGAAGAAAGTTGAAAATGCCTAGAAACCATCCATTTTATCTCAGCAGAGCCTAACTCCACATACCAGGAATGATAAGAAAAAGACCCTATGTTAGTGGTGGAGCGCACCTTCTGAATGCAGAAATTCTTTACTATTCTGAGTTTAAATGATGGTATTCAGTGCTTATGAAATTCTGCGGAATCATGAAAGTGGATTCTCTTGTTCCATCCTATGCTCAGAACAGAGATGATATATTTGGGGAAAATAAGCCTTTGTATTTCTTCTTAACTGTACAGTTTAGATTAGGAAAGCTTCCTAGGAATACTGAGGATGTGAATCTCATTAGTAGATTTTTCTGTATGGAGAAGATTCATTGCAAGGGCATGAGCTAGATAGCCAGATGTATGCCTTCGCTTCATTCATTACATGGAAACAATTGACATATATCCGCGTTTAGAACACTTAAAACAAGGTTGTGAGTTTTCTGATAATTTCAGTTTACTGCAAGATCTCTATTCCCATGCTTATTTAAACTCTCATGCACACACAGATAGATGCATGAACTCTTGTTAAAAAATAAAGTGTGCATGCACTCAGCCAATGTATATCCTATTCACAACAAAATGGAAATTAGCCATTTTTAACCCAGGGAATAATGACTTAAAATATATTATTCCTTAAGTTTGAAAAACACTGATGTAGACCATTATTCTGTTTCTGTCTTTATATAAATTTTGGGAAATAGCATAGATGAGGGCCAAATATTGCCAAATAAGAGTAAGAAAAAAGTATTAGGAAGATGACGAGGTAGGGATTACTATATGCTAAAAATGTCTGGGTGTTGGTGGAGATGGTGGTTATGATTACCTTGTTTCAGAAGAAGATGAACATGGTGGCTCTCACATTCTGACTGGTTGTAGATACCTGAAATAGTGGGTAGTGACTCCCAGACTTTGACTATGAATTTGGCTATGAATTGATATTCATATATCAATTTTAAATTTTAAATTATATTTAAAAGAATAAAAGAGCCTCATGTGAGTCACATAAACTGTCCAGAATGAAACAGTAACTGATTTCAAACTTCTTGTACTTAAGATGAGATCTAATAAAATCTTAGCTCTAGCTAGTGACCAAACCCTACTTAGTTTTGTTCCAAAACAACTTCTATTAGGCTATTGTATTAAATACATGGTTTAATACCAATCATGTCAATGGTGCATTTTGGCAACTTCCATACTTCCTTTAATATGTTTCTTTAATTAAATCTCTGAGAATGAAATAGTTGCCAGAATTGCCAATCATAAGCAAAGCCAGACAGAAAAACATTTTGATTGACAAACACTTATCTACTTTTTTCTCTGGAATATTTTTTTCTCTGGAACATTTCCTGACATAACTTCTTAAAATACACTTTTAGATTTATTAGAATATGCTCAAATAAAGGGAAAAAACTCAAGTTATAGGCCAACATAATAGGATTTCTAATAGGGCAATATAATACAACTTAGATGGGAGTGTTGTATTCTATGGGAAGTTTTATTCCACAGATGGGAGCTTACTGGAACAGAATATTTTCCATGATGGAAAGAAATAAATTATCACCTACTGCCCTTACCTCTTCATCCACCATTATTAATGATCCAAACTAGATTTTCAAGGGGCATAGAGAACTGAAGAGGAAAAAGTTTAAGATCAGGAATGCAATTACAGCACCATAATCATAATACTGAAAAAATAGAACAGATAATGTTCATACTCCAAATACTGCAGCATATTTATAAATACAATTTGATACAGAAATTA